ACACACACACACACACACACACACACACACACACACACACACACACACACACACACACACAAACCACACACACACACACACACACACACACACACACACACACACACACACACACACACACACACACACACACACACACACACACACACACACACACGCTTCCTAGCCCTCTCCGTGCTTCGGGATCCCGCCGGGCGCACGCGGTCCGCACTTCAGATGAGCAACGAGTCCGCGCTGTCGGTGCAGCAGAGCTGGTCAGAGGTCCGGAAGTTGGGCCGCCCTTCGCGGAACGGGAGTTTGGGATGGAGGTTCGGGTGTCTCTCAAAATAGGTGTTTTTCTCAGGCGTCCCCTTTCTCAAAATAGAAGGCAGTCGATGAATCCCAGCCCGGTTACTCAGCTACAGCTAGTGGCTCCCGTTGTTCTCCATTTGTTTTGTTGTTGGGTGGGTGGCTTTGCGGGACAGTGTGTGCCAGAGTTTTCAGAAAAGAACCCTCCAGATTGAAGGGTTGTCCTTTTTCAAAGACTATGTTGGACGAAACCATGGCTCCTCGCCCGCAGCAGATCCCACAAGAAAGGCGTGGCTACGTTGGGTCGAGGCAAAAACTTTGGTTACGCCTTCCCCTTCACCCACCTACATGAAGGGAATTGTGCCATCCACTTTTACCCCCGTGGCAACGGGGTTTGTTGCTTCCCAAAATGAAAACCAGCTGGGCAAAAACAAACAAACAAACCCGAAACACGAAATCCCTTCCTTAAGCAGGCGGACCTTCATGATTTCATGATGGCTGGAATCGCTCTTACGGCAAGTTCGTTTTAATGTGTGCAGCCATCCAAAAACATTCGGTTGTCCTTTGCAGGCCGACGGGCCAAGAGGAATTAGCCCGCTTGCAAGTTTTTGGGAGTCAATGTATTCCCCAAGTAATCCGCATCACCCAGAAGTTTCGCACAGAACTCGCACAAAGAAGCTTGCGCAGAGGCTGTTGAGGGAAACAGGCACAGATGTGCGGGCATACTCTTGCCTACAACTTAGTGCGTTATGCTTTCGGGGCACTTGTCTTCTAGTGCTTTCGGCAAGCGACGACCATTTGCTGTGAGGTAGGAACAGATCAGAAGGCCTGTTCCGAGTCCCGCTGAGGCATTTCCACAGTGGGCCACACTTTTTACAAGCACATGTTTCAGCTGGTGCCGGAAGCGCGCAACCTGCCGCTTACTTTGGAAGGGGAACACGAGAGAGGGAGAATGGGCAGGCGCACAAGCGGAATTTTGTGGCGGGGCTCCGTTCTGGGCGCAGTTTTTGCAAGACTGTAGGAGGCACAGAGCAGATTCTGCGTCGTGTCTTTGTTAGGGTCCTTTACAGTTTTTAAATTATTGTTGCATTTCCCGTTAACGTTTTCCTTCACATTGTCTCTGCTTTCGGGGCATGAATGTGGGCCTCCTTTGGCTGTGATGTTTTTCCGATGGTATGGAGGTGGCTTTGTGGCTGAGGTGGAGCCAGTTGGGCTCCATCCCAAGTGTTTCCAGACGCACCGGGCTTTCCATGCGACGTACCATCCAGCTCTGTTTTGAGACAGGCCTTTCAGTTCCAACAACCAGTTTCCAATGTTGTGACACGGAGCCTCCAGCACCGAGAAAGGGTTCCCTACACATTGAGATGGAATTGTCCAACGCAAGAAACGCTTCCCGGACGTGGGATGGACCTCTCAACTCCTCCAAGCAACAAATTCTTATTTTGAGAGACAATTCAACCCCAAAAGGGGCGTCGACTTGATCACGGAACCCCGACTTGATCGAGGCTCGTTTTGGCTCGAACAAACGGAAGCGCTTTCCTCCTTGCACGTTTGTAACAAACGTCGCCCCAGTTGCATCCAGTAGGTTCCCACCCCTTCTTGTCTTTTGTTGGGCGTGTCTCCCCTGGGAATACACCAGCGCAAGCGCGTGCTTTTCTTTGAAGAGCTTCCATTTTTTACCTAACCAACTACGCTGTGCTTGATTATTTCATTTTATTTGTTTGTTGGGAGAGTTCGTGTCCAACGTCAGAAGAGAGCACGTTTAGTTTTTCAATGGGAGCATCTGACGAAGGTGACTCGCTCACACGCCGAGGTTCCCCATGACCTTTCAGCACCACTTCGGGGAGGAGTCGATTCGCTTCAAGCCAATTGCTGTGACCTATCACGGAAAGAGTAACGTTCCACAACCTTGTGCTGAAATGGGTCTGAATCAAACCGAATCCCATGGATGACTTTAAAGGACCGCAAATTCCACACAACTAGGAGAAAGACACGTGCTGTCCTCTCTCTGTCTCGCTTGCTCTCGGTTTGTTCTTCCCTCTTGGTTGCTTATATCTGCTCTCTCTCTCTCTCTCTCTCTCGCTCTCTCTCTGCGAAAGTTACTTCTCAAACCAGCCAGGGCGCTGAATAGCTTGAAGGTCTGGAAATAGAAAAGCAATATACAGACATCCGTTTGTGGCTTTCATCAACAGAGGATACAACAAATGATGGGTTGTTTGGGTGGTTCTCAAAAGCAGGGACACTTCCATCTCGATCCTGCTCGCTGCGAACACGAGCGCAGAAAGGGAGGGAGTGAGGCCCACTTCCCCACGTGCAAGTGGCAACCTGACACGGGTTCAGGCGCGGTGGGGCGACGCCCTACGTAGTGAGCGCTCCGCAGGTCACAGCGCACACCAGCAAAGGCCAAATCGCACAGTGCGCCCCGCGCAGGCAATTCGCAGAGGAGAGGGGCCAAGCCAGGCACGGGGGAGGAAAGGCACACAACGGCAGAAAGGGACAGGAGGCCCCCCAAGAGAAAGGCCCGGCGTGGGCACAGGCGCGAGACAAACCCAGCCAGACTTGGGCGTGATTCTAGGCTGGGAAGTCCACCAGCCAGCGGGCAACAAGTGCGCAGCAACAAGAGTCGCGGAGAGGCGCGAACTGGGGGCAGTCCTCAAAGAAGTGCCGACAACAGGAGGACCGGCCCGCGTCAGCCACGCGACAAGAAAACCGGCGGGCGGGGCCCAGCTGGCGCCAGAACGGAAGACACCGACAAGCCAAGCATCCTGGGCGCCGAGGGCAAAGGGTCTGCCCGGCTAGTTGGGTCTTTTGTCTGGCTATTTGTGTTTTTCTGTGGTGTGAACAAGGACAATCTTAAGCAAAGGAAAACGCATCAAAGTAAACACAGCCTATGTGTTTTGCTTTGACCTTTGATATACAGCATGGAAAACATGGTAATTATGAATTATAGCTTCTTGTGTTTGTTTTGCTGCACTCAACGGTTTTTGGATACAAAGGTTTTTGTTTGTATGTATAAATGTGTAATGTGTGTATAATCTATATAGGAACCAATTTTGTATTTTACATTGCATGACGGCTACATCAACAAATTTTGATATGCTGCAAGTGTTGAAGTTGACCGTTTCTGGAAATTGCAAGACATATCAGCACATGCCTTGTTCTGGGCAAAGCTCATCACAAACCCGCTGAGGATGCCCAACCTCCTTAACACCCCAAAGAGGCTCCCCAAAGGAATCTCAAGCATGATTTGTGGATCAAACAGTTTTTAGATACCCCAAACCATGTCAGCGCAACGTTAGTCGGATACTTGTGATATTGGGCTGCTTGTCGGCAAATATGCAAACATATTTTTGAGATGACAGCGCTGGGTTTGTTTGGCATGGCGTCTTGGCATGATCTTCAGCGTGCGCCCTGTTTGTCAGAACGCGTCCTCAACTTCTTCGGCCAGGGGCCTGCCGAGGTTTAATCTCAGCTGGGGTGGGTCTAACTAAATTAGTGCGCCGAAAGGTGCTGCGCCGAAAGATGCAATAAAGCACCGAGAGGTGCTTTTAATAACAAGCACCGAAAGGTGCAAAAAAGCACAGAAAGGTGCAGGTCTGGGCCTCAAGCACCGGAAGGTGCTATTTTGTGTAATTTCCGGGCGCGCCTCTTGGACGACAGGACACGGCCTCAGTTCGTGCAGCGGGGCGGGTGAACCACCTTCAACGTGCTGCGTGTTGTGGAAAACACCCATGTTGGAAGTACCCGTCGCGAGCGAGGAACCTTTGATGACCTTTCCTTTGCTTGATTATGAACTTGTTTATTCGTGGAAACTCCTTTGCAATTCCAATAGCCTACAGAGAAGGATTTGCAGCAGCCACCAGTGGCCGACTAAAACTGTGTGTGTGGACCAACTTGTGTTGCATGGTTGTGGGCTTCTTATGAGCCCAACGCCTTTCAATAGTTTTTTGATGTGCCGTTGAAGATTGAAGGGTCTCACAATTTCTGTCGTGGCCATAAGGTGTGCAGTTGCTAATGGCGCAGTTCCAGAAAATCTTGTTTGTGAGTTGGTTAGCTTCGCCAGGAGACCAACTCCTGGATGACCAGGAGTTGGTGTCACTTAGGGTTTGCGTTGACGTTGGAACCTAAAAATCAAGACCATGCCTTGGAGTGTGTTTTCATCCGTAGGTGTGAAGGGCTGGTCTCAGGTCCGGATAGCGGCAGCTCTTGTTACGTTAACCAGTGGCTTGCCACAAGCCACCCACTTGAGAAGGCGCACCTTTTAAGACTAATTGCCAGTTGCCGGGGGCCACCGCTCAGTCTTTGCCTCACCCTTGCGATCAGCATTGTCAGGATCAAATGTTCGCGTGCTGTCGCTGAACATTGCCCTCAGGGAAGTGCTTGATCAGGACCGTACTCAGGTGCCTGACTAAGGAGTTGACAGTCCTGATGGTAGTCAGCGTCAATGTTGTGCCATGATCTCCATCCTCCTTGCGCAGAATGTCGGGGCCTTTCTTGACTAGCTTCACGGTGTTCAACTGCGATGACCTGTCTGCAGGCACACCTTTCGGTGTGGAAATTATACCGTTGTGTGAGAAGTAGATCATGTTGTGCACACACACAATATTATTAATGCATGCTTGTCGCTGGCCTTTGTTGCTGCAGCATTGTTTCCAGCTTGCGAGGGGTTTGGAAAGAATAACAAGCCAACTGTGCGCATGGTTCCCGCTGCAGCTTCTGATTGCTGGCTGCCCGCTCTGGGCTGCTTTTCTTTGCTGCTCCTGATTTCTCAGCTTGGGCAGATTTCGCTTCCAGTGTCTGTTTTGTTTCTCACTCTGCCTGCAATTGTCATTAAGAGGGTCTCACTTCTTGGGCCACAGCCCTTTTATTGCACATACAGACATACATGTTCATCTCTGAGGCAGCCTGGTTCTCATGTCAAGTCCATTCAGCTTGCAATGCTTCCGTCAAGCTTTTCGGCAAGGCAGTTGCAAGGAGGAGGTCGTCAGAGTCACTGATGGGCGGCATCAGCCAGGCCATCCTCAGCCAGGCCATCCTCAGCCAGGCCATGCTCCCAGGCCATCATCCCCAGCCAGGTCACGCGCTTAAGAACGAAAAAAGGAGGAGCATTATTATGATGATGACAAGGCAGAGCAGCACGAGCGGCCGAATCCGAAGTGAGAGCATTATAATAACGAGGGACTATGAGGCGGCATCAGAGCCTCACGACGAGCAGGACCAGGGCCAGGAGCACGAGGAGGAGTGGGACTGGTGTGTGAAGGAGAAGTTGCCGGAGAAGGATGATGAGAAAGAAGAGGAGAGAGGGGATGAGAAAGTTGAGCAGGTGGACGCAGAAGGAGAGGCGTGGGAGTGGTACTCACGCCTCGTAGAGAGGGGCGTCCGCAACTTGCGGCCACTGTTCTTTGAAGGAAGGGCAGTGTTTGTTGGGGGTTCCCCGAGCTCGTGCACGGTGCTCCGGAACTTCCCAGGCTTGGTGGTGAACTGCCAGGGGTAGAAGTGGCGGGGCTGCAAGATTGCAAAACTTTGTGTTGATCTTTGCCTTACTAGCAAGTGTGCAATGTTTAATCCAATGGGCTGAAGTTGTAAGGGCCTACTACTTTGCTTTGTTTTCCCCGACCAAGGCAAGCCAATGCCCTGCTCAAGACCACGCCCAAGCATCTTCAAGTGGTCACTGCGAACCCCAACTGGATTCTTTGCCACAAGGACGCGCAATTCAAGACCTCGCTGAAGCTTGTCTTTGGTGTGAGTAACATTTTTGCTAAGCCCGATGAAAAAAACTTGCCTTGTGAGAAGTAGGGAGTTGAGTGGCCTTGCCACTTCCAATAGCCACAAGCCCTGCTCAAAGCCCAGGTGGCAGGACGTGTTGGACAAGGTGCAGAAGTCCAGGCTGGTGTTCATCCACTCCAACGGCGGGGTCCACAGATCCCTAGCAGCCAGGCCCCAATCCATCAGCATTTTGCGTGTGATGCCCAAAGTACACATGAATGAAACATGCGTTGGCCCCTTGATTCTGCAACAACAAAGCCGCTATGCTGCGCGCTCCTGGCCGCCCTTGGCCACATGAACATAGGCAAGGTCAAGGATGCCCTGCGTGTGGACAAGCAGTTTGACCACTTCCTGAAGGCGGTGATGGTGGTTATCAGGGTCTCTGAGCACAAGTCCCTCTTGCAGGGCGGAGAATAATCCCCCAAACAAATACAAAAGCCAAATAAGGAAAGGCCCCAAGCGTCAGCCTGTGTTCCCTGAGAGGTCTGGCCAGGTAATGTCAATAATTCAAATCTGTGCCAGCCAGACCAGGCTGCGGCTATTCCAGCCACTCTTGGATGATGAAACAGCACTGCCCTGCACCATGACTGGCGTCAAACTTTTGTGTTCCAGCAAGCAACTCTGGAATTATGGCTGGAAGGCCCGCCATGTGGCTGCGACTTTTTTCCCGAGCCGACACCGGGAAGGAAAAACAGGGAGCCGCTCAACAGGGGGCCGCTCAATCTTGCTGTGCTCATTCCCGAAAATTCTGGCCAGTTAGTTCAATCCAGCCACGGATGACAATGAAACAGCGCTGCCCTGCACCATGACTGGCATCAAACTTCTGTGTGTTGCAGCAAGCAACTCTGGAACTGTGGCTGGAATGCCAGCCATGTGGCTGCGACGTCTTTTTCTCATGAGCGGACGCCAGGAAGAAAACAGGGAGCCGCTCTGTCGATTTTGCTGTGGTCATTTTCGTGTGTGTGCCCATGACTCTCCTTCACGAGCGTAGCGCCAAAGAATGCAAGTGATTGTTGACATTCATGGTTTTGTGCGTCCAGGCCGATCCAGCGCAAATAGCCCGGCAGTCAGTTCCAGATCC